TTTTTTTTTTTTTTTTTTTTGGTCAAAAAGCAACACGGCTCCTCCTGAGTGAATTGAGGCAAGCCGGCCAGCTGCTAGGTGGAAAGGACTCCTCTGAGTCTGGGCCAGTGGTCATCAGATACTTGGCATCAGCATCTTCACTCGGGTCCTGACATGACTGTTCTCAGAAGTTCTGGGAAAGAGTTAGTTCTGTTTAACTCCTCCAGAGCAAAGACTTGGCATGCGACCACAGCTACGCCCAGAATTGCAGATGGGCTGTCTTGTGATTCTGTGGGAAGTTTGCTTCTTTACTTGGCTTGTGCTGCACGGTGTGTCATTTTCTGCCCACAACTTGATGAAAGAGAACTTCTCGGAGCTCCTCTCTAAGCATGTGCCTGCAATATAAAAGCAAGGCCGCTGAGAGCCAAGTATAGCTGGGTAAAGGGACAAAGAACAGATCATCTTTTTTTCTAAGCATATTTTGAGTAATACAACCCAAAGACAGCATTCTTCCTTCCAGTCTATGGCTATTTCAAGTAAATGTATTCATCACTATCCTTAAATTAAACTGATAGTTATAGGTTATAAACATGTTTTAAAATACTACAAAATACCTCAAACTCGGTCATAGTAATGATTGTTCTATGAGCTGTGCAAAGGGTTAATATTTGAAGAATACACAATTAAAATATAAGAAAAGTACCAATTAAAATCCCTTCACATTCTTGAATATAGTTATCTAGAAATACGATTTTTTGACAGATGTTGATAATGATATTTGAGAAAACATTAGGAACAAAAAGAGATTTGCAAAGGTTTCTGCGTTCTATACCGGCTTCTACTTTCTTTTTTTAATGCGAGGTGTATTTTACAATATTTCAACCCCCTTCAAAATCCTGTGATGGCTCCCTTTTCCCTAATGAAGCCCATGTGCATTATTTTAGTATTTTTAAGTTTATCCCTGCTTTAGCCCAATTTGTCTTTCCAATTTAGTTTCTAACCCTCATATACAAAAATCTATACTCCCATACTATTAGATATTTTATCATTGCTTGAGAAAGCCTTGCACTGTCCTTGGGCCATTTCTAACGTTCCTTATCCATGAAACCTCTGTTGTCCCTCCAAACAAAAGAGATAGGTCCTTTATCTGAACTTCTGCAGTCCTTTGTGCTTCCCAAGGGCATTCATCATGTATTGTATTGTACTATTATCTGTAACATCTTATCTTTCTTACTGGATTGTAACATAAGGTGAGGGCAGACTCTGAGTTATCTGCCCATATGGGCATCACCCACAATACGTAACATGGTGCCTTACATATACAAAATATGAGATAATCGAATGATATTATGTGTGTGTCGCTCAGGTCTCTGTCAGTAGCAAGATGACAGAAACCCAGTTCAAACTGGCTTAGTTTCTGAAAGGGGAATTTATTGACTCATATATTTGACCTAATCAGGGATGCAGTTTGACCTCAGGTGTAGGATTTAGGATTTAGGAATATCATGAGAGTTCTCTCTCTACTCTTTCTACATCTCTTTGTCTTTATTTTTCAAGGAGATATTCTCACATGGTGGCCAAGAAAGGCACCAGCAGTCTCAGGTCACATGTTCAGGGAGGACATCCATTGGTTCTGCTTGGGTTTCATCAAGTCACACCAGATATAGAATGAAAGCATAGTTTCCTAATGTAACTCAAAGGCAAATGATAGGCAACAGTGCTGTACAGTAAAAACAACTACAAAATTACACTACAAGTTACAAGTTAACTTTTTAAGAATCTTACAGATTAATATAAAGGTTAGCTTCATCATTTTCAAATTTTAATGAAAATATCAAATAAAAAATACATATTATAGCACTGTGTATTGCTCAAGGAATGCAAATGATGTAAAGTCAAAATATCAATCACTGAGAAATCTTAGTCTAGTTGGTGGCTGATAAAACTTAAAGCATGACAAATGAATATAAAGATATGATATTAACCAAGAGTTAAATATTACTGCACTGATTATAGCCTTAATAATAACTCAGAAAAGAAAGGAAGATTGTGAAGTCAAATAATCACTGAAGATTTTTTTGGAGGTGGTGAAACTGTTTTTTTTAAGGACAGATGAATAGATTTTGAATTGTTGGAAGAAGGTACAAAGGAATGAAGGTGAAAGAAAAAACCCAAAATGGTGCCGAGGTTGACATTCTATTTATAGAGATACAGTTGTAGACAACAGCTCACATGTAGCAATCAGAAAAGTTTGACTTGCATAGACCTATAGCATTGTCTGCATGATCACGGTGTTCTAAGAAGTGAAATAGATAAGAAGCTTACTAAAATCTTACATGATTTGTACCAGCAGAAAATTTGCAGGTCAAGTGGACAAAATCCTAACCTGAATCATAAAAACAGAGTCATGGCCTTTCAAGCAACTCCCTAACTTAAATCACTTTTCAGATACAGAACCCCTTCAATAAGAATGAGGCTGGGACCCTTTGAGGATGGAACCCTGTACACTGCCCAAAATTTATACTGTTAACCTTTGTCCAAGTCTTCCCCAAAATGATCTACAGCATTTTACCAGGGTAACTGTGCATTGGGGGAAAGGAAATAATTAGACCTTTTGAGGACTACTAGACCTTGTCTCTCAACTCACACTAATTCCAAGAGACTCAAACTGTCACTGTGGTCCACCAGCCGGAGAAGGGGCTTATGGAGGTCAGGTAGTCTGGAGATTTTAGCTCAGGCTCCTCTCACAGTGAGCCAAGAGGTTCCTTGAATACATTTGTGTTTATTTTCCCAGTTCCTGGAATGCATAATTGGAATAGATATAATCAACAGTGGGCAGAATACCCACATTCGCTACTTAACCCATGAAATGAGGGCTGTTATGGTGGGAAAGGCCAGGTGAAAGCGGCTAGAACTGCCTCTAACTAGGAAAGTAGTAAACAAAAAGCAATAGTCCTCATTTGGGTGTTATTCTGGCAGATTAACTGAGTGGCCCCCACATTCCTGGATTGATTGCAGAGATTAGTGGCACCATCAAGGAGTTGAAAGATGCAGGAGTGGTGAGTCCTACCACTTCCCCATTCACCTCACCTATTTGGTAGAAGACAGGTGGGTCTTGGAGAATGGCAGAGGAGTTTGTAAGCTTAAGTAGGTGGTGATGCCAACTGTAGCTGCTGTACTGGATGTGGTTTCATTGCTTGAGTATATTAACACATCTTCCGGTATCTGGCATGCAGCTGTTGATCTGGCAAATGATTTTTCTTGATACCTACTAGTGAAGACTGCTGGAAGCAGTTTGCTCACCTGGAAAGGCCAGCAGTGCACTTTCCATGTCCTATCTCAGGGATGTACCGACTCTCCAGCCCTAGGCCATAATTTAGTAGAGACCTTGACGCCTTTCCCTAGCACAAGATTATCATGCTGGTCCTTTACATGGATGACATACTGATTGGACCTAGGAAAGAAAGGTAGCAAGTACTCCAGACCTACAGGTAAGACATCTGTGTGTCAGAGGAGTGGAGAACAAATCCAACAAAAGGTCAGAAGCCTTCTATCTCAAAGAAATTTCTAGAGGTCCAGTGGTATGGGGCATGAAAAGAAACATCCTAAGGTGAAGGTTAAGTTGTTGAAACTGGCCCCTCCTACAAACAAAAAAAAAGGCACAGTGACTAGTGGGTCTCTGGATTTTGAGGCCACATAGTCCTCCTTTGGGTGTTATTCTGGCCCATTAACTGAGTGACCCCCAAAGCTTCTAGTTTTAAGTGGGGCCTAGAATAAGAGAAGGCTCTGCAGCAGGCCCAGGTCCCTGTGCAAGCTGCTCTGTCACTTAAGCCGTATGACCCAGCAGGCTCATTGTTGCTTGAAGTGTTAACTACAGATAGGGATGCTGTTTGGAGCTTTCAACACATTTCTATAGGTGAATCATGGTGCAGGCCCTTAGGATTTTGGAGTAAAGCTCTGCCATCCTCTGCATATAACCACTGTCCTTTTGAGAAACAGCTCTTGGCTGCTTCTGGTCTTTAGTAAAAACTGTGTGCTTAACCATAAACCACCAAGTTACCATGCAACCTGAGCTGCCCATCAAGAACTGGATGTTATCTGACCTACCAGGCCTTAAAGTTGGCATGCACAGCAGCACTGCCTCATCAAATAGAAGTGGTAATATCCATGCTTTATTTGGTATGAATTAGACTTATTGAAACTCATTTATATCTCAGAATATGGTCCATTGTGGTACGTGGTCCACGTGTAATTAAAAAAAAAAAAGTGATTGTATTGTTTTTGGGTGGAACGTTCTAAAAACATCAATTGGGTAACGTTGGTTGATGTGTTGTTCAGGTCTTTATAACCTTACAGATTTTCTGGCTACTTGTCCTCCCAGACCCTGAGAGGAGCCTGTTGAGGGCTCCAGCTATGACTGTGGATTTGTCTACCCCTTGTCCAATTAGTTTTTGGTTCGTGTATTTAGAAGGGTTGCTATTAGGTGCACAAGTGCTTAGGATTCTTATGTTCTTGATAAACTGACCTTTTTTATCATTATGAAACAACCATCTTTATTCCTGATAATGTTCTTTTTCAAAAACTGCTTTGATAGTAATGCAGCCATTCCATCTTTCTTTTGGTTCGTGTTCTCATGGTGTGTGTTTTTTTCTTTTTTAAAAAAAGATATTTTAAACTTTTTATTTGGAGGTGATTTTCAACTTACAGAAAAGTTGAAAAAATAGTTCTTGTACACCCTTCACTCAGCTTCCCCTCACGCAAAATGTGTCTCCAGTCTCCCAGTTTTGTCCCCTCTGTTAGGGAGATGGCCCTGCTGCACCTGGAGTCCTCCTTCTCTGTGTGGCAGCCTTCTCTACGGCAGGACTTAGAGCAATTATTAGCTTTACCTCTTTTGTTTCCTCCCTTTTTAGGATTGCTTTTGCCCTGATGTCTTAAATATGAACCATTATTTCAAATGTTTTGTAGAGGTTTATAGTTATTCCAGGCTTCACTGTAAATGTGGTCCCCTTCTATAGTACTGTGCACCTTGCTTTTGGTGTTTTCTCACTGAGCATTCATCGTATCATGAGGTACTCAAACCCCAGTTTTTGAGGACTTCCATATTCGCGTGCAAACCTTTACCACTCTCCCTCCCACGGGCTTGCAGTGGGCCTGCACTCTGAAAGCAGGTCCCTGGACCTGCCGAGGCCACTTTGCTGTTTGCACACAAAGGGCAGGAAAATTCCTGGGAATTTATTTGCCTCACCCTAGCCCTTCATTAATGACTTCATGGACCAGAAATAGAAATATGCCAGCTCCCCCAGTCCTCATGGGAACTCTGAGGTATGACCTACACTTTCTCTAGAGCTCTTCAGAGAGACCAAGCAAAAGTTACTATGTGTGGGACTGCTGGTTTGCCATCCTTCCTGCTACTATGTTGATTTTCCGCAAGAATTCTTCACATAAATCCTTTTGTCAGGGCCCTTTGTCCAGGATCCCAAGCTAGAACAACCAACTGTGACAATTGTTAAAATATTCTACTTTTACCATTTATATAACTTATTTAACTGTTTCCCAGTAGTTCAGCATTTAAGTTTTTTGTATATTTTTTCTACAATAACTAGCTTTGTAATGATTATCTTTGGATGCAAAATGTTTTCTCGAGTTCTAGATTACTCCTGTGAATCTATTTCTAGAAGGGAAATTGCTAAATCAAAGGGCATCAATATTTTATGTTGCTTTCCAGAAATATGTATCAATTCCTAGTTCCCTTTGCAGCAGATCTTTAAAAATTTTTTTTTACCATATTAAGCCAATCTTAATAAAAACTTTTTAAAAACCTTGCTGATTTTACTAGTTATGAGATTATTCGTATTGTTTTCGTTTCTTTAATTAATGAGATTGAATGCTTTCTCACATATATACTGCTTGTTTGCCTTTTGTGAATTATCTGTTTATGAACTTTGCAACTTTTTTAGTTATTTTAACAATTTACATACAATTGGATAACTTAAAGTTATTAAATCTATGTAATTTATGCAGTCTATTTAATTTTTGCAAATGTTCTCTGTATATGTTTGCTTTTAAAATTTTTATATTTTTTAAAATGCAACAATTTTGACTTTCAAGTAACTCAATCTAATTGTTTTCCTTTGTGATTCTTCTAATGTTTCCCTATTTAGAAAGCTGTACTACATGTAAAAGCAGATACATTTTATCTTACATTTTCCTCTAGAATTCTTTCTTCCTTTTTTATCTCTTTAACATCTATTAAATTCCTTTGTTATTTATTTTGACATATGGCATAGATCAAAAACAGATTTCATCTGTGTTTCAAGTTTATTCTCTTACTCAATAAAAAATGTACTCGTTATTTACTATGCACCAGGCACAGTACTAGACATGACTGGCAGAGGCAAATGTTGAGAGGATGCTGAAGTCACATCCAAAGTCAGAGTGCACGCCGCTGATTTCCAATGAGAAGGTGGAGAAAGAGGGGAGGGGAAAGGCGTGGAATGGCAGCCCAGGGCTGGGGATGTTGCCCTCCCTTTTCATAGTGCACTATCAACTCACTCCTTACAGAAAAACAGACCTGTGGGAAGGGATATGCTCAACAATGTTAAAAACTGCAAATGTACAAAAAGCGTCATTATTCTAAAGAGAGTAAACAGATTTTCATGAGCTATTTAAAATATCCTCTTTACCTAATTACTTAAAGTAATAAGCCATAACAAATTACTTTTCCTGTAAGTATTTAACATGGCTGTCATCAGACTGTCTGTATGATTTTGCATTCTACTTTTTCCATTTAACATTATAAAATATTTGCATGTCATAAACTGGTGAGCATCGTATCTAACAATTACATATAAAAGGTTTTAAATGGACCAATTACTCTTTTCAAAGCAGAGCTAGCTTTTACTCTTAAATAGATACTGTTTTACAGATATTCCATTTGGGTTATTATACAGTCATGCCCTTTTTTCTAGTGTACAGATTTAATCAAAGTGAATTATTACAAGCACACACCACCTTAGGCCCTCAAACAAATGCCTTTATCAATTAGCTCGGCAATCTTTTCAATTTTTTCCTCTTTAGTAACTCTTAAGATCATTTGCTCGATAATTTATTGAGCCTCTAGAATGGAAAATAAACTGTAATAGGGCATTGCCTTAAAAAACGGTGTTCCATACATTCTAATGATGGAGGCAGACCCCCTGGGCTTCTTAGAATCTCTGTTTAAATGTGGCACTCTACACCTTTAACCTATCCCTCTCTACCAGCTCCTTCCACAGATCCTTAAGTCTATGCCAACTCAAAGACAGAAACGAAAACAAAGCCCCCAATCAAACTTCCTTGTAATCTAGTTTCTTCCTTAAACTACGCCCAATCTATCTTATTTCCAGCCAAATATGTCAAAAGCAGAGTCCGCATTTACCCTCCTCTTTCCGTGCTTAACTGCTATCTATTTATTCCCCAGTCTGCTCATTCCCCCACCTCACCCCTAATCAGTTCATTCTACAGACTTGTTTTAGGCTTTACCTTAACTAGCCCTCTCTGAGTTCTGTCAATAATACTCACCTCTCTCTTCAAAGCACTCTATTCCCCTTACCTTTGGTTTCCCTCTTACTCCTCTCACATACCTTTTACTGATCGCCAGCTCTTCCCTTTACCTCTTTATTCGTTTGAATGTATGGTAGAAGCCCTTAACTCCGCTTAGCCAACTCAGTGGAGTTAGTTAAGGGAGGCCATTCCCCTCTCTGTAAATCAGTCTCCACCACACTTCAGCGCTGAAGACCCCTGGCACATAAATGAATCTCTAACTGGCCTGTGCATGCCTACTGAACTTGTATGCTTTACTAGAGAGACAAGTGGTTAGTTTTAAAAACTATTTTGCAATCGCACTTGCTATTTTAATTGTGTAATTTTTATCAAATATTATGTAAACTAGTGAAATATGAAAGGGAAAGGAGGAGTTGTTTCCATGAAAAATCAGATGAGTATTATGGAAAAGCTCCATATTGGCTGGTAGCTTAAAAAATAATTGCAGTCAAATTAGGTGAAAAATAAGGCCAAGAAAAAAAAAAATTCCTCAAATCTAGACATATTTTACAGTGAGTTACCTTACCGAGCAAGTGTCTTTAAGTTTTTGCACCACTCAACCAAGCTGAAACTGGAATCCTAATGGTGCTCCATGGTGCAAAAGACAAAGCAGAGCTCCAACCAGCAACAGATCCACACACAAAGCAAAGGCTTGGCCTGACATCAAGAGAGAATTCAAGGAAAGCATGTTTATATGTTTTAAGGTGTCTATGCACTGCTTTTATTTTTTGCAGCCTTAACTGACCCCACAGATTAACCTGTCACAGTGGCCTTGCTTATAAGGCCTCCTTCTCTAGAAATATCTTGATTGCATCATAGGGATTCTTTCCTTGCTCTGCTCTGTCTGTGAGAAAATTAATTTACAACCAGAGCTTCAATTTATTAAACAAATAAGGACCGAATCCTCAAGCTCTTTGCAGAGAGGGTCAATAGTTCATTCACCACCACCTCCCCCACTCCCACTTTCCTCTTTGCCTTGTGCCTTGCACACAGTAACTACTTTAAAAAATTGTTGAGATTTAAAGCATAATAAGAACATTAGTCCATAAATTACAACTTAAGAATTAGGTATCTGGCTTGAATAAGTGTATTACAAGAAAATTCCTGTGTTTTGAAGTCATAATTTACCCCTTTCCAACAACTACAGGAAAAAAGCTCCATTGAAAATTACGATTGGAAAATTACCATTTTAAATTGGGTAGCTGAAGCCAATTTAAAGAAAACAACAACTATAGTTTTCCAGAAATGTGCAGACAAGTTTAGGTGGACAGTGACAAGTACCACTACAATATTCAGTTTTATCTAAATGAAGTCTGAAGTTTTGTTTCTCTCTCGAATCCCGTGGGCTTATTTTCTCTGAGCTAGGCAGGAGAGATGTGATTATCTCTTCCATTTACAGGTGAGAGAATTAATGGGTCTAACAGTTACTGACTTGCTTTGGAATTTAGAGAGAGTTTATGACTTCAATGGGATTTAAACCGTGGTGCTAGGTATCTTGTGTCACCTTTTAAATGTTCCTAAGCCCCTTTACAATTGGGCAGGAGAATCAGGAACCAAATATTAAAAAGTCAGACCCTCTATCCACAGCTATCACTCATCGGTTCACCAGGTTTTCTAGGATTATGCCATTAGAGTTCAGTTCTTTGATTTAACACATATGCCCACAACATTCTTGGGAGAAATAAAAAGTTAGTAATTCATTCTTTAATAGCTTCCTATTAATAGATCTACATAATTCACTTTTTTTTGATTAAGTGGTTACTTGAAGAAAAGGGCAGTGATTGGCATTCTGAGGTAGGATTATTTTAGATTATCCTACTTGTCTTCAAGAAGGAAAGCCCAATGTGTGTGCATGTATGTGGGGGATGGGGCGTGGGGGGCATGGTCATAGACGAGGTTCTGGAAAACCAAAGGGCAGTTCTAGGCCATTGGATGCCAGGAGTTGAAGAGCTGAACTAGAAAATGGAATGAAAAGAAGCAGAGTAACGCAAAACAAATGTTTCCATTTAACAATTTTAATTTGAGCTGAATTTAATGGTGAGGTAACTTGATTCTTATTATTTTTTATTTGAAAGTTTTCTGTAGTTTATTTCTAAGTAAAAATATTGGTAGCCCCTTTGTTTTAAATCAAAACATTCCTGAAAACTGGAGTATAAAGAATGTTTATGAAGCAGATTATGATTTCCCTTAGGAATAGTTCTGAAAGTGATAGCTGAATTTTTGACCCAGGAGTTAGCATTTGATACATTATAAATATGACCAGCTATGCCTCATGACAATTAAGTAATTATTATAAATACCTATCCTATAACATATTAAAATTATAATACCAATTCCATAAAATGGTCATGGATAAACCAAGCATGTCTTTTATATAAAGGAATCCAATAAACTATACATTTTGAGGGGGGGGAATTAAAAATGTCGTGTTTCATTGGCTGCTGACCTTTTCCATGGTCTCCCTGAAGGCAGGGAGCAGGTAAAAAGCTGCCCGAATGAGCGGACAGAAGAAATGGGAAATTTGTTTCATTTCTGAGTCTCACATATGGTCCTTTTCTATTCAAACCTTCTATGAAACTATTTTCTAAAATTAATATGCCAGTTATTTCATTACATGCCAGCATAATAAAGGTTAAGCAACAAATTCAAAATAATTTCTTCTGCCACCTTAGAATTTAGTTTTAGAGTATGCCAGATGGGTCTGTTTTAGAAGGTTGTTAAATATGTTTAACAAATGATAGTTCCTGTTTCTTTTGTCTATTTATACATCTTATGGCAAGTAGGGCCTTCGAAATAATTTCCCCTGTTATCAAAGAAGTTAATATTCAAAAGGTATTTATTAGTGATGTAGATGGTAAGGTTTTTCTTACTGAAAAGCATTTTACAAATAAGGGCTAAACATCTACTTTCCTCTTTACTCTCTAACTCCTTAAATAGTTTAGAGTTACAAAGATGGGAGCTTAGACAGACCAAAGGAAGGTACAGCACCAAGGCACATGGGATGGGGGTTAATTTCTGATTATTCATTTAGCCAAAGGCCTACTTTTTACTCTGTTAATCTGCTGACAGTTACTGCCAGATCATCAGCAAAAAAAAAAAAAAAAAAGTACCTTGAATGTAACTTCCTTTACCGCTCAAAACAGGCCCGTTAAAGGCGGCGAGGAGAAGCGTGTGTGTTCATTAATGATTGCGAAAGGGAGACGTGGCCAAAAGGCAGAGATAAAGAGTGAAGTTTCCTGAAGAGAAAAAGGGAATTGATTTCAGCACTTTTCACATGAAAAAGTTAAAACTAGTTTATTAACACTGAAGCTCCATTTAAAATTTTATTGACTTACTTTATATTGAGATATAATTGATGTCTAATATTATGTTAGTTTCAGGTGTACAACTGAAACTAATACAACTGAATAATGATTCAGTATATGTATTTATTGCAAAATGACCTCCCAAATAAGCTGCTAAACATCCATCACCACACATAGTTACAAATTAAAAAAAAAAATTATTTAACATTCATCACCTCTTTGTCGGTGTTGACGTCTCTTACAAATTAAAAAAAGCAACAACATTGAATTGAATTTGTAGTACAGAGTTAAATGAGAAATTTCAGAAAATGAAAATTACTTACTCTAGGATCCTGAACATTATTAATTTAAAATCATCTATTTTTACAAATTATGTACTGGCTGTATCCCTCAACCATATTTTTCTTGCTTTCCCTTCTTTTGAAAATAAGCAAATTTTACCAGAATGACAAATTTACTAAAACTGAAGCGAATGCTGAGGTTCCCTAATGTTACCTTAGCCCATATCAACTGTAAGAGCTTGAATCTCTCTAAGTTAATTTCTGCCTGTCTTAGAAATAAAACATTAAATTGGTGATATTCTTCAGAATTTACAATTTTTAAATTATATATACTGTTAAATATATGGCATATAGAATTACAATTACATGATACTATTATTAAAATGATAAAGAAACAAAAATAAAACAAAGATAAAAAAACAAAAACTAACAACAGACCTTGCAAGACCAGTATAAGTAGCTCATCTATTACAAGTTCTCCCCAAAGGCAATGCTATGTAAATTCAATTTATAGGCCCTGGATAGCTTCCCCAATGTTGGCTTCCCAAAGCTCTATATTGATATTTTCAAGAAACTAGCAGCATACTTCACCTTGGAAAAATAATATTATAAAGACACTGCCATTAGTGATTTTATGTACTTCTACATACCCTTCTTGAATTTGAAATAATGGATAAGTTCAGGTAATAATTTTTGTTCTCTTTCAAATTTTATGACTAAAATATTGAGTTGTGTTTTATAGCCTACATTTATTATTTTCTGTACAGTCAGCCAGCAGCTTTAGGCAAAGAATACTTTTGGAGTCTGGAATCATATGCAAAGAAATCAGAGGTTTAAAATGAGTAATCATGTATTCCAGAAGCATAAGAATTGTCCAAAGGTTCTGAAATACAACTAAATACTGTATACTGTATAATATATGAGAAATAACTTCCCAACCCTCTGTACAATTTTGTCTTCATTTATGACCAGGATAATCATCTATTTAAGTATGGTCCAGGATTACAGCTATAAAACTTTATTTCCTTCAGAGTAGTTTTGGGAGATTTTTTTGGAGGAAGAGTTTGTTTAGCAAATTGTACACTGGCAATGGTAAGGAATTTTTAGTTATAAGGGATTTAACAAGGTCACAGGAAATACGCAGTCTCAGTTTCTAAGAGTCAAACTGAAAGAGGGAAATTTAAAGCAGTAGATTTAATAACAAGTAAGGCTGTTACCATCAGAACTAGGTAACTAATAATAATAGGGAAGAAAGCAAAGGGAAGGCCAGATGTTATAAGCATGGTCATCTAGGCAGCTTCACCAGGAAGCTGTAATTTCACACTCCTCAGGGAACCACCGATCCATTCCCTGCAAATCACTGGGGGAAGGGGCCCAACAAAGGGGAAGCTGGGCACATGAGCAGTGAAGTCAGGGTGATGTAAGGAAGGTGCTTGCCTGTCAGTATAACCTGGGAACAAAGATCATTGCTAGGAGGGTGGACCCCAATGCAAGCCTGGGAAAATTTGGGAATATATAACTCGCAGACAAGGGAATGCTCTCTCTCTTGTTCCTCTTGCTTCCTTGCACTCACTAGATTTGTGACCTGTGCTAGCCTGCCATGCAGCCCTAGAAGCCACACAGCCCATGGCCATGCAGACCCCACATGCCATGGACTGCAGCTGGGAGCACATGCTAACCTAGCCAGATGTTAGACTGAGCTGTGCAAATATGGAGCAGAAATTCTGAGCAATGGCTTTGATCTTAGCTCTGCTGAGGACAAAGTGGGACTTTTTCCATGGCAGAACTGAGATGGGACTTTAGAAACCCAGGGGTTTAATTCCACAGAAATAAAGCTTTCTACGATACCTCATCCTTCCATAGGGGGCTCAGGAAAATCTTTTTCATTGGGCACTCCAAGAAGCCCATGGCAGAGAGCACCCAACCATTAGCAAGGCTATATAATATTTACATGACAGAACAAAACCCTAAAACTTCTTTAGATCTCTTTAATTTTAAATTTGGTTCTCATTTTAATGGAAGCTGTTAATTGTTTAAAAAGAATGAAAATGTTACTTTTACAGGATTAAGAAACGGAAAGGACAGGATACTGACTTGGATCCTAATCTTATGAGCTCCTAATATTCTTTATGATCTAGAAGATCCTAGAGCTATCACAGTCATTTTGATAAACTTTAGTTTCTTTTTTTACCCAAACGTGAGTCTTAATACATATGGGCCTTGACTTACAATGGCTCTCGATTTACAAAGTTTTGACTTAAAATTGTTCGAGTTAAGATTTTTTTGATTTAATGATGGTGTGAAAACCACATGCATAATAAATTACATGAGATATTCAAACTTTATTATGAAATGGGCTTTGTGTTAGATAATTTTGCTCACTTTATCTGATATCTTTAGGCTAATGTAAGTGTTCTGAGCACCTTTAAATTAGCCTAGGCTAAGCTATGATGTTCTGTAGATTAGGTGTATTAAATGCATTTTCGACAGGATAATTTCAATTTACGATGGGTTTATCAGGACATAATCCCATAGTAAGTTGAGGAACATCTGTACTTAATGTGGCTGTGACAAGTGAGATAATGTATTTGTACATGAAAGCATTTTGAATGTTATACTGTAAGTTATTTATTAGGGAAAAGCACATTCCAAGCACACTGTTTTCATGGTAGTTTAAATTTATGTCACAGGCTAGCTAGGTTGTAAATTCAATTTATTTTATGGTTTTTAGCATCCTTTAACTTCAGAGCCTACCTAAAAAATTCTGCACCAGGGACTGTCTTTATGTTGTATTTGGCTAAACAGATCTACCCTCATTTTGAGCGCTCACTGGCCATTATTGATAGTGATGACTAAATCCCAGTTAGAATATGATTAAAATTATGCAGTATGTAATAAACTCCACGACACTACTGAGGCATTTGAGAAATAATGTACTTTCTTAGAATTCAGGTCAAGAGCAGAAACAAAATTATTTATGCATGACCTCAATTTTCCCCTCTCAAGTACAGAGAAAGAACAAATGCACTACGGATTTTCTTTGGAGAGGTCTGTGTTTATTATGTTTGTTTTACTTGTTTTTACATAGGGAAACTTTGTTGGCCTTTAAAATGTAATTTAACAATGTAACTTATTCCCCCCGCCCCCCCCCCAATACAACAAATACATATGACAAAATGAATGGGTACTCATTTCAGCCTGTAAGATTTGTTTTTAAGTTATTCTATTTGCAGCCAGGGGAAAAAAATATGAGATCATTTCTTTCCCCTCTGCCAAAGGCAAGCCGATTTCCCCAACCCACGTGGACAGCTGAGCAGCAAGCCTAGCGCGCTGGAGTGCCCGAGTCTCCCGACGCGCCCTGCCATCTGCGGGCGCACCCGCACTCACAATAGCGCGCACGCGGGATGGGGCAGGACGCAGCTGGCGCAGCGCCCCGGGTCCCACTGCGGAGGCTGTGCTGACCCTGTAGCCATCCCTTGAGTCTATCGCGTTTGCCCACTGAGTAGGAAAACAGAAAGGGCACCCGGCGGAGCAGAGCTGCTCCCATCCTTTCTCTCCCATTTTTATACAATGTACTCCTCTCCCAAGTGCTTTCCGAGTGCTGGATCACACACTCCCTCGCTGGCACACTCACACACGTGCGCGCCGTACCTCGCCCAGCTGCAGGCCGGGACAAGCC